GCTGCGTCATACAGGATATGTATCATTTGAAAAGTGTATGCCCATGGTGTGAAGGTGTAAACTTTGTGCACTATAAATTTCAGAGCAGTTGTACAAATAAAAGTCCTGATGACTGCTTGACGCCCTTTATATGGATCTTAGTATGAATCTGTTCCAAGTGATTTTGGCAAGAATCCTTTTTTGTGCCTCTGAGTTCAACTCTTCAAATGTTCAATTGATCATGTTCATCTTCAATTCGATGTTTACAAATTCAGTGTAAAGAAATCTAGTTTTAAAAATACAATAGGCTAAAATGTGAGATATAAAAATGTCAGCCAATGTATTTTCAAGTTGCTCCAATTCAATTGGCGAAATTCAGATTCAAAATACGAGGGTCGAAAATACACCTGGGAACCCGAGGAATCGATTCTAACTCAAGTTAAACCAACGAACAGCTAAGTTGGCCATTGGTCACGTGACGCCAGCTAACGGTAAATGGTTTTCTGAAGGAAATATTATCTCTCCTCTTTGTCATTTGTTTTGGATTTCTTTAGATTCAGTAATAGACAATAACTGACACTTGTAAATTAAAAGAATTTGTTAAACAAAATCTACATGGAACTTGCAATACGGTTTAGTAGTTTCTTTTTTACTCTTAAAGTTATTAGATATTTTTTAATTTATTATTTTTAACGCTTCCCTTCTTTGATTGTTTTCTGTTTTTTGTGAGCAGGGATAAATAAAGCTTCAGGGAACTGCAGAAAACAAAGCTCAATGACTGGCCCTTTATAGGGCCTTTGTGGAGATCAACAGTCGAACCTGCTTTGAGTCACATACACACCTGATACTCACCTGAGGCAGGTGATGTACTGGAATGCAGCCGACCCTTCTCCCTCCCTCCCATTCCTTCTATCCTACCCTGTCTCTCTCTCTCTTTCTCTCCCTCTCTGTTTTTTCTCTGTCTCTCTGCCACACCCATCCCAGCAGGAATGTAACACACAGTAACACTCATTCACACACACACACACACACACACACACACACACACACACACACACACACACACACACAAGCTCCTCTATCCAACCACGGGAATGATGTGTGTGAGAAACTAAACTGCACTGTCAATAATCAAACCAAGGTTGAGGCTTTGTGGTAGGCCACGCCCCATCAACCAATCAGAAAGGAGAGATAATTTAAAGGAGAAGTTCACCATAGAGTCGTCATTTCACTTAGAGAGGATCATGTGATCTTTGATATCATTAACCTGACAGCCAATCAAGATTTGTTCAAGCAGATGTGAAGTGCGTTCAACCTTTACCCTGTGTGTGAGAGCGGGGTGTGGTTACAGCCAGAGGAATACACACACAGTGAAAAGGCAGACAAAAATAACTGAGTTTAAATCATAAACCCGTAGGCGGACTCCACCTCCTGAATCCTGGAATGTTTTGAGAAAGCTTGGACTCTGACCACACTGTGTTTATCTGTTTACCACACAAATACAGAACTACTGCTCTGTGATTGGATGTCAAAAGTCTGTTATAATGAGGTATTTGACGGATCCAGGACCCTCAGAGCACCTCAAGAAGTTTTTAAACTTTCTCAAATTCCCTGAGACCACATAAAGGATTTCTCAAAGTTCCTTTGCAGTTCCTCAAAGTACTTTGACAGTCTTTACAAGGATCTTTACAAACTAATCAGACCTATGAAACCTAATAAATGACACCTAATAGATACCTAAAGACATTCCTTACCAATCCAAGGATCTCTACAGCTCTATAAAGGACCTCTTATTGTTGCAGCCTCCTAAACCATGTATACTTGAGAACCTCCCTGGGGACTTCTACTGCCCAAAGATCTCTCTGACCTGTTCACTGCACTCAACAACTTCTCCAAGCACCCTAACAACCTAAAGCCCCCTTTCAACCACAGGAACTTTCCCCTGGAACTAGGGACCTTTCTAGGAACTATGTGCAACCAGGGTCTAAAGTCAGTTCTGGAGTAATTGAACTACCCTTAAAAAGACGCTGCTCAGGGGGTAGTACTTTCTGAAGGTCCAGGGACTTTGGCCGTCAGGGCCTGCATCACCTACAGCCCTGAACGTCTCTGATTGGTTAGGCACTCCCAGCATTTTAGGTCAGCCGCCATGTTTAAGACTGCAGCTGCAAGTCGGCTGTTTTCTTCGCTCTTCAACATGTTTCGTAATGGACTTATAAAATCCATAATCTGGCCTAAAGTCGAGCATTGAATCTGCTTTGCTCACAGCGTTGGTTGATTCAATGAATCCATTTGTACAGCACTTGCTGAACCTCCTCCATGCTAACAGGCTTCTTGCAGTGTCGAACAAATCACGATGCTGGCCTGTACGTTGCCTTATATGGCGTCATCTCTGTAATATGACTTTGATCTTCTTTTTACCGCCATCTACTGGACAGGTGTAAGGCGCCATTGACCTGATTTGCATAATATTCCCCGGACTTCATGCCACGATTGAAATGCTGAAAACAATAGGCCACAGAAACCATTTAGTTACTTGAAGAGAAGGCCTTTGGTCAAAAAGAGACTTAAAACAATTTATAGGTTAATAGAAGAGGAATTTCTCTGCCACTTAAAGGACCTTTTACAGTCTCTTCAATGACCTCAACAACATATGCCTCAACCTCCCAAAGGACCTTCACATACTGATTAAGAAACTTCCTTACCTGGTCATTTGCCTTATAATCTGCCGAAGGGACTTTCAACTGACCGGGAGGTATGTAAGGACTTCCTCAACCTACTCAAGACCTTTGACAACATCTTCAATCATCACCAGCAAACCAATTGTCATCCACACCAAATTCATGGACCTTTACACTTTCTGCAAGAGCACGTACACCCAAATCAAGGACAGATCTGCTTAAGGACCTAAATACTATCTTCAATGACCTGTAAATGGACATCTGAAGGCATTAAGGGGCCTGGACAAGTTGCTCAAAGACCTTATAGACTTGACTACCTCAAGGACTCTGTACGGCCCTTCTAAGGACCCGTACTCCCTCTCCAAGGACTCAGTAAAGTTTCTTATGGGCCTGCACAGCCTCCTTAAGGACATTACAAATCATGTATAAAAACTTTAACCCTTGTGTCCCCTTAAGAGAAAACTTCCTCACTACTCCTTGTGACCACAGAATGGTCAAAGACCATATGTGTCACATCTTATCTGATCTATTCCTCTATAGATTCTTTCATTATTTCAACATACAAACAGGTAATGAGACTAGTTTTCTATTATTATCCCAGTCTGATATGGGTCAACAATAACCCACAACATTTATTATGGTGCATAATGTGTAAAAAAGTGGTTTACTAACCATTCCTCGGAAATCTAACCTTCAATAAAACCTACCTAACAATCATGCTTAAGCACGGTACGGGACAACTTTGGTAGTGTGAGTGCGCCCTAACTCTCTCTCTGGGATACACTGAAGTTACACTTCCAGTTTGTTTTTACTGAAACTTTAAATATAAATTAAAATGATTTCTTTTGGTAGCAACTGGGATGCATCAGACTCATTAAAAATCAAATGTGTTTTTCATTTTGGAAAATGGTGGAAAAATCAATTGTAAGAATTTAGATTTAAAAAATGTTTTCAACATAGATTCAATTGAAAAAGTCACAAAGTGTGGGTTTACAGAATTATTGTTATATAATATGCATGCAGTAGAGAACGATGTCTTACATGTAGTTAATAACTCCATAGTAGTTTTTTTATTATGGCAGAACTTTACTTCAGCTTTGAAAGTAAAATAATTAGATCTGTGTCGAATCTAAACAACCATAAAAACAGATTTTGTTTAACAGTTTTCATACATTTGAATTTAAAAGTTGTGTATTATGTCACATGTTTATATTTTACTTGGTATGGATGTAAACAAAAGAAGCCACATGCCTATGAACACTATGTTTACCTTGATGATGTAAATCCTCTTTGAGATTTAACTGTATTTAACTATGTCAAATAAAGATGAGCTAGTATGAGAAAGAAATGTTTCCATACAAAAATTCAATCCATACATGTTTTTCACATCTATGGTTTTTAATTTGCTCACTCGAAATGGATACAGTAATTTATTTTCTCTATATTTGATTATGTAAAAGTGAATATTATGGATTTATTTTAATGAAAAATATTTACCACAGTTTATAAAATTTCAATAAGTTCACACATCATATACTGCAGATTTAGCAAATTAACTAAGAACTATATTAACTTTATTTAAAGTAATATGGGACTTCAGATGAACCATAGACTGGTATGCAATCTATAAATCAAATTGTATGGCCTTTAATCATTTTTGTAAGAAATCAAAATTCACTGAAATAATACCTAAGTTAAGTAAAAACATTTTAAAACATGAATTGAAATGTTTTTTTTCTCCCAAAGATGTAATGCTTCTTTCTGTTTAAGATATTTCAGATATTTTCAGAGCTGTTTTACCCGGATACACATCTTAAAAAAGAGTTTTTTATAGACTCAGAACCTGTTTTACTTTAAGTGTGTGGTACAAAATAAGGACACAATGCAAACACACACACACACTCTCTAATACCCTCACACACCCTCACACACAAACATCCAGGTAAAACTTGAACATAACAAAAGTCAGGCCTTTACTCTGTTGTGAGTAAGTAGTTTGTTAGTAGTTAGTAAGTTGCGAGTGAAAACCAACATGGTCCCCACAGTGGAGGTACGGAAACAGATTAATGTCCCTGTAATGTAGGTAAACCATTTTTTTCTGTTTTGCAGTTCAAAGTTTTTTTAAATATTTAGTTTAACAAGACAACACGAAACTAAAAAAAACTAAAAACAAACAAAAAACAAAACACATACACTGAACTTAAAAATGCAATAAAATAAAAACAAAATACACAAAATTAAGTGTGAAAAACTTTCAACTGCACATACAGTAGATAGATAGATAGATAGATAGATAGATAGATAGACAGATAGAAAGATAGATAGATAGATTTGTGTGTTTACCGGCAGTAAGTGTAAAATCCAATCATCCTGCTCTTTGTGTTTTCTTGCTCTTCTGCTCCTGAAGGGGCGAGTCCAAATCACAGAAACAGGTTCCTCACAGTTTCTCGCTCTCTCTCTCTCTCTCTCTCTCTCTCTCTCTCTCCCTGGTCCCGCCCCTCCCTGACCTGCCAGTCTCAGCTTGTCCTCCCCCTCTTCCTCCCCCTCTTCCTCCCCCTCCTTCCCGCTCCCTCTGCCAGAGTTCACTTCCTGTGAAGACAGAAAAGGAACACATGTCAACCTGCTGCGCTGTCTGGACAGACCAATAGTGCCCTCTGGCTGCACTCAGCAGGCGTTGCATTACGCCAGAGGTCAACAAAAATATTTATTTTTTAAGTCTCAAATGTCAAAAGCCTTGTCTAGCTTGGAGTAATCTAGCTCAAGTTCCAATAATAAAAAAATATATATATAATTGTTCATAACTTTTAAGCATATTGTATTTCATAAAATAACCACAGAAATGAGCAGAGCATTTTAAAAGCAACAAAATGTTTTTAACAATTTTGTCAAAGTACATTTTTGATCAAATAATAATAATAATAAATTATCCCATTTTTATTGAAAAAATGTGTTCATATATGAAAGATTGTTTTCATACTTTATTGTGTTATTTTGACATAATATTATGTAATTATTGTCCTTATAATCTAATATATAGTTTTTTAATAAGATACATTTGAAGACAATATATTTTTAATCTGGTGATTTAATTCTATGAATATTTACTTATATTACAATTATTATTACAATTTACAATATTCACCTTTCAGTGATTTGTACAATCACTTTTTGTTCGTTATTTTGCTCCAGCAGCCCTTTGAATTTCCCTCGGGATCAATAAAGTATCTATCTATCTATCTATCTATCTATCTATCTATCTATCTATCTGATGCCTGTTCTTGTCCTTCAAATCTTTTATAAAATGTTCTTTAAATTATTATTTTTATGCTTGTTCGTTAATTATTGTAAGTTTTTTGCTATGTCTTTTTTTTCTGCAGTCATTCTTGATAGTTGTAATCTCATCAAATTCATATCAAATTATTCCAAGCAAAACTCTATTTTTTTTCTCATTCTATTTGATTAGAATGTAATTTTCTTCATCTGATGTTATTTGATGTTTTTGCCTCTTCCTTCTCTCTTTATCTCTCCTGTTCTTGTTTTCCATTCTCCCCCCACACACACACGTTCAGCACCCCCCACCTTCCTCATCCATTATCCTCCCTCCTCCTCCTTCTCCTCCTCCTCCTCCTCTCAGTCTGCCTCAGCTGTCCTTGGTGCTGCTCTTTCAGATGGAGACTGCAGTATTCTGCTGAGTAGCGGTGAGCCAGCATTTGCTCGCTCTGCCTCTCGTCGTCAGCCGGCTGAGAAGGCTGCTGCGAGTCCTGGCAGAGGAAACTACAGCGACCACAAGCCTAGAGACCGATCCTAGACTGTCTCCAGGCCTGAAGCAGACTCCCGTGGAACCCTGGGAGTCGCAGTCCTCACCAACCAGCTGGTGTTGGAGGCAAGGAGAGAGATAGAGCAAGAGAGGGTGACATGCCTTGACAACAGTCAGAGAGAGAGAGAGAGAAAGAGAGAGAGAGAGAGAGAGAGAGAAAGGTGAGTTTATCTGTTTGTGTCTTGATTTTCTAAACCTGTCTAATATTTCAGCTCCTCTTCCTCCTCTCTCCCTCTGTCCCCGTCTGTCATGATTTAATTTCCTCTTCTATCTTTCCCTCCCTCTTCTCTGTCTGAATATCTGTAACATCACTTTTTCATCCACCATCTTTTCATGTATTCGCCTTCTGTCAAATATTATTCCCTTCTCTGTCTTCCTCGGCCTGACGGTGCATTTTCCTGTTGGAGCTTCAGTCATGAGCTGTTTGCTTTGTTGTCAATGTGTTTGACTCATTAGATGTTAATGTTAGTGTGTGTGTGTGTGTGTGTGTGTGTGTGTGTGTGTGTGTGTGTGTGAGTGAGAGAGAGAGAGAGAGAGTATGTGTCCATCTCCACCCAGTCTGAGAAGCAACTCACAGTTCAAGCCCATGTTTGCGAAGTGTTTCTGCGTTTAAAAGCTGTTAGTTTGCAGCAGAGACACATGGAAAGAAAGCCTACAGACAAAATTAAAGGTATCACATACACACCATAAATGACATAACATGAGAGTCAAAAGGATGTAATGAAACGAGACTAAAAGAGATGGGCCATTGCAGTAAAAAGGATGTTTGGAAACATGCAACAAGAAATAGCATGATTTTAATTATTACTTGAATTTTACTTACTTAAAAAACAGGGCATGGATAGAGAAATGAAAAGACATGAAGTGACACTAAAACAAGAGATATAACACGTGACATGCCACAAAATGAAAAACATGACACAATGAAAGATGATGCAACATGAAGACATGGACGACATACTGTATATAGAGATGAGATGAGGTGAGGTGAAAACAAGCGGCAACCTCCGGTCTTGAAAAGTGAAGCAAATACAGAAGTGCGAAATCCAGCAGGTTGTGGAGGATCTGCTTGAGGCTACCTCCAGGAACACCAGAAGTCACATACACATGACTGGCAAAAAAATCAGTTTTTAAAGCATAAATTAACATGTTTACAGCCTGGTTCAAAAAATGAAAAAGGTCTGATTAGTTATTGTCATCACTAGCACACACTGTACGGGGGGTGATTCTTTTTTAAACAGCTCTGTTTTGATTTTGAAAACGGTACGCGTTTCCCATAGTTAGGCGCATAGCTGACATGATTGACAGGTGAGCGCGATGTTATGGTTTGTACATAGGCTTAAAACGCGCCTCAGCTCGTCTGAAAGTTAGGTTCAGACAGGATTTCCAGCATGGTGGCTGCTGCAGATGAGCCTCCGGAGCCCTCTGCAGGAACAGATGGCTGACGTCACTCAGGCTTCAAACATGAATATTTACAGTCCATGGGTTAGTATACATCATTAAAAGACTTTAAAAAGCATAAAAGGAAAAGACATTCAGTAAGGACAATCAGCAGGTTGAACCTTTGTTTTAACAAATCTACAACTTTTTAGTGTTTTGTGTGTTTTTTTTAAGTCATTACGACATGTTAAAACATAGCCATCTTCTTTGTTTTAGTGATCATTTGTTAGGTCTCCTTCTCTGTGGTTCAGTTTGTTTCTACCCTCGGTACAGAGAGTGAATCCAGGGTGACCGTCTGTTTACCGCTCACACCGTGGCTGCAGGGTGAGGCAGCAGATGGCCTTTCTGCTGGGATACCTGCCCACTGCTCCCTCTCCACCCTCTCTCTCTCTCCACCCTCTCTCTCTCTCTCTCTCTCTCTCTCTCTCTCCCTCTCTCTGCTACATGTTACTCCTTTTTGCTTACTTCATCTTTCTGCGATTTGAAAGGACAGCAATATTTGACAGGGAGGACAAGTGTCTCACTCCACTTCTAAAGAGACTTACAGGAATAGAAAGATAAAGCCTTTAGATCAGAGCTGACACTGTGACCCTCCGCAGAAAAAAAAATTAAGCATAAGTCATCCATAAGCTATACCTCTTATCCCTAGTGGAGCCAATACAAGCTGACCTTCGCAGGCCTTAGCAATGTCCAACCTCTGGTGTTGAAAATGATGCCAATGCAGAAGTAAAAAGAACTGCAGTTCCTGCAATGTCCACCTGAGGCTTTCACAAAAAGTGAGTCAATCCCTATAGTGCTCCATGTTAAAAAATCCAAATTCACAGCAGAAATAAACATTTACAGTCTTTAAATTGATGCATTACTTGGGGAATGGACTCTTTGAGTGACAGGCCGATACTTCTAGCTTTATGCGAGGTGTCCCCTCATCTAAGTCAGTCACTGAACCGCTTGGTCGTGTTTGTATTGTTGGGATTCTTTTCAATGGAAGTATTGTTTATCGTGCTAACAGACAGTCCAAGAAATCTGGACGAGAGCTTAATGGTTTCCAGAATTATTGCACTGATATTTTCATCTGGCTGTCTGCAGGACATATCTTGTTTTTTACACCCATTCGAGAAGAGAAGCTGCTCAGATGTCCTGGTTCTTGCAATAATAGAAAGTTGTTGCAGGTTCCCAAAGTCCCACAGCTACTTCCTTCATCTTCCTTCTCCTCCCCGTTGGCTTTTTCAGAGGCGCTGACCTCTAAAAAGGCCTCGTTAAGAATTCAGCAGGAAAAAACATACAGATTGAGGTATTAAGACAGAGAGAGTCCTGAGAAGGGAAGTGAGAAGAGATATGCCAAAACTCGGGGGATCCTAATGACACACATCACAAAGGAGGAAATTGGAGGAAAAAAAAAAAATTTAAAGCAAGAATGTGTGATATTTTACACATAAAGTAGAAATCAAGTGTATCCTCTGTAAATGTCTCTCTGAGTCATGACTGTCTACAAGGAGCAAGAAGCGTGAGTCCCGAAAGCTGTACTGTTGTCGGAGCTGTGTTTACGTCATGTTTACATGAACGGACGGCTTTGTGTATAAAGCTGTTTGAGTCTAGGACTAGAGAAAAGAAGAAGAACATACTCACTGCTTATTTGGATGCTACGTAAGTGTCTTTAAATGCCGGTCATGCCATGCCAATTTATGTGCAATATGAAGCTACAAGCTAGCATTAGCCTGCTAACACAACAACACAGGCAATTGTAGCATTCTAAAACATAACTCCTTTGTGCGAACGCGATGGAGAGGGGCTGGAGGTGTGCTGCTGGAGGAGAGCGGAGGCTTCAGAATAGCGGAGGTGTCGAGATCAGCAGTTGACTTTAGTTTATTGCTGATGCCATCTACTGGATCAAATAGTTGCACATTCTTCCTTTAAATGCTTAGTAATTACCTGAAACAAATGCTCACTATAATTTAACAAGGACAAATGGTGCATTTGTTAGTCCAATCTATATTTACAGAAAATTGATATTTTGCTATTAAACATTAATAATGTTCTGAGCCTGAAGTACTTTAAAGTTTAACAGCATACTCTTTTAACACACCTTCTTGTTAAATAGATAGTATGAAGCCTAAGGACGCTTCCCTGAGGTACCCCACAAGATTGACTTTTCTTATAAATGAGTTTGTCGTTGTAACATCTTTTGTATTTTTT